AAAAAAAATATTGGAATAGATGGTCTCTACATCACTCTGATAGAAGCCATCTATGAAAAACCAACAGCCAATATCATACTAAATGGTCAAAAACTGAAATCCTTCACACTAAAATCAGTAACAAGACAAAGATGTCCACTATCACCACTCCTGTTCAATATAGTCTTGGAAATATTAACCACAGCAACTAGACAAGACAAAGAAATACAAGGAATAACTACAGGAAATGAAGAAGTTAAACTCTTCATTCACAGATAACATGATACTCTATATAGAAGACCTCAAGAACTCCACCAAAAGTCTTCTAGACATAATAACCAAATTCAGTAAAGAAGCTGGATACAAGATCAACAGACAAAAATCAATAACTTTCCTCTACACGAACAACAGACTCACTGAGAGAGAAATGGGACAAATAATTGCTTTCACAATAGCATCCAAGGAACTGAAATACCTAGGAATCAACCTAACAAAAGAAATTAAGGACCTCTTCTCTAAAAACTATAGCACTCTAAAAGGGAAATTGAAAATGATACCAGAAAATGGAAAGACATTCCTTGCTCTTGGGTAGGAAGAATAAACATAGTGAAAATGGCCATACTTCCAAAACTGCTATATAGCTTCAATGAAATCCCAATTGAAAGTCCAGCAGCATACTTCACAGACCTTGAGAAAATAATCCAAATATTCATTCAGAACAAGAAGAGACCCAGAATAGCAAAAGCAATTCTAGGTAACAGAGACATGGCAGGGGGTATCACAACTACCAACTTGAAACTATACTACAAAGCTACTTTGATAAAAACAGCATGGTACTGCCAAAGAAACAGAACTAAGCACCAGCAGAACAGATAGAAGATGAAGAAGCAACTCTGGACACACTCAGCCACCTCATCTTCAACAAAAGAGCCAAAAACCCTCACTGAAGAAAAGATATACTCTTTAATAAATGGTACTGGTAAAATTTGGTTTCAACTTGCCAAAGATGAAAACTAGACCTATTATCTCTCACCATGCCCTAAACTAAAATAAAAATGGATTAAAGATCTAAATATTAAAACAGAAAAGTTGAACCAGCTGGAAGATAGGTTAGGTAAAACTCTTGAAGACATTGGTGTAGGAAAAGATTTTATGAATCAAACCTCAGTTGCCCATGAACTAGCACAAACAATCAACAAGTGGAATCTCTTCTTATTAAAAGGCTTGTGCACAGCAAGAGAAACCACCAACAGTGTGAAGAGACAATTCACAATGTGGGAAAAAATTTTCACCTGCTGTTCCTCACACAATGATCTACTATCTAGAATCTATAAAGAACTTTAAAAAATCAGACCTTCCAAAGTTAAAGACCCAATCCAAAAATGGGCATCTGAAATGAACAGACATTTCTCA